GTCATTTAAAGTAAAAGTTTACGGACGACGGACGGACGCCGGACGGACGGACTCCGGACGAAAAGCGATCACAAAAGCTCACCCTGTCACTTTGTGACAGGTGAGCTAAAAAGACTACCCAACAAGAGCTGTCCGTAAGACAGCGCGCTCGACTTTTTTATTGCTTGCCAATAAAAAAAGTTTTTGCAGTAAAAGGCAATACAAGAATCTCTGTATTTTTAAAGTGAACTAGTTGTTTGATACCCTTGAATATTACAGCAATGTTTATATGACATAATTTATGGTAAAGTGAACAAGTGGATAGGAATGAATTTTTTTAGATTTTTTAAGTTTTTTAGTGCTTGCCTATAATACAAAACATTGACAGTTAAGGGCCATAATTCAAATAAAATCTTTGACAGAATTACCTTCTCCTGGACATGTTTGGGAATCATGATTGTAAACAAGTATTCCAACTTTCAAATTAATATCTCAAACAGTTCAGTCAAAAAGTGGACTGGTACTAAAAACTTTAACCAAGATTCTAAGTCGATAAAAGGCCTTAATTTTTAAAACAAATCCTTGACAGAGTTACCTTCTCTTGCGTACAGATGGGGGTAATGATGTGAAATAGCATTAAAAGTTTCAAAGCAATATCTCAAAGGGTTAAGGCAATAAGTGGATTTTACCCATATTCAATGTATTTTCTAAGTCAAAAAGGGGCATAATTCTGTCAAAAACCTTGACAGAGTTATGTCCTCTTGTCTGTTGATGAAGGTCGTGATGGTAAACAAGTATGGTCAGTTTCAAAGCAATACCTCCAATGGTTTTGAAATAAAGTGAGGTGGTACAAAAAACTTAACCAAGCTCAATACACTTTCTAAGTAAAAAAAGGGCCATAATTCTGTCAAAAACCTTGACAGAGTTATGTACTCTTGTCTGTAGATGGAGGTTATGATGGTGAACAAGTATGGTAAGTTTCAAAGCCATACTTGTAATACTTCTGAAATAAAGTGGGGTGGTACGAAAAACTTAACCAAGGTGTGACGCCAACGCCGACGCTAACGCCGACGCCGACGCCGGGGCGAGTAGGATAGCTCCCCTTTTCATAGAAAAGTCGAGCTAAAAATGCTACAGGCAAAATTTGGTGATCATCCATCAATTAGTTCTGTAGAAATAGACGCTAAAAGGTATTTCTATTTTTCATCCATCTTTTAGTTCTGTTACCAGAAATAGACGCTTAAAGGAATTTTGAATTTTAAACTTCAGCGGCTCCTAAAAGGGGCCAATCAAATTAATAGCAGCAAACTTGATAAAAGAGTACCTAAGAATGCTACAGACAAAGTTTGGTGATCATCCATCAATGAGTTCTGAAGAAATATACGTTTAAAGGTTTTTCTATTTTTAGCTATAGCGGTCCCTAAAAGGGGCCAATCAAATTAATATGAGCAAACGAGAATGAGAGTAACTTATTAAAATTGCTTAATATTGTTCTTTGTATTATTGTACCTAAAATCTCTAATTGTGATAGCATGAATCTTCACTAGAACTCCGCGAGTCGGATGTGTCGCCTTGTGAACAATAAAGTTTAGGAGAAATGGCCAGGACAAAAATGAAATATGAAAATTAACAAAGGGCAATAACTCAAAAAATAATAAGTGCAGAGCAGCAATTTCTGTGCACTGCACTTCTTATCAATAAGATCTATCATTCTATGAAGTTTCAAGTCCATATCTTTTATAATTTATAAGAAATGGCCTGGACAAAAATAAAGTATGAAAATTAACAAAGGGTAATAACTCAAACATAAGAAATGCAAGAGTACCGGTTCTTGTACACTGCACTTTTTCTTAATGAGATCTATCATCCTATGAAGTTTCATGTCCATAGCTTTCATACTTGAGGAGAAATGACCTGGACAAAAATTAAGTATGAAAATTAACAAAGGAAAATATCTCAAAAATTAGAAAGTGCAGAGTACCGGTTCTTGTGCACTGCACTTCTTCTTAATTAGATCTATCATCCTATGAAGTTTAAAGACCATAGCTTTTATACTTTAAGACAAATGGCCTGGACAAAAATAAAGTATGAAAATCAACAAAGGGCAATAACTAAAAAAATAAGAAATGCAGAGTACCGGTTCTTGTGCACTGCACTTCTTCTTAATGAGATCTATCATCCTTTTATACATTAGGAGAAATGGCCTGGACAAAAATAAAGTATGAAAAATAAGAAAGGGAAATAACTAAAAAATTAGGAAGTGCCGAGTACCGGTTCTTGTGCACTGCACTTCTCCTTAATGAGATCTATCATCCTATGAAGTTTCAAGTCCATAGCTTTTATAGTTGAAGAGAAATGGCCCGGACAAAATTAAAGTATGAAAATTTATAAAGGGCAATAACTAAAAAATTAAGAAATGCAGAGTACCGGTCCTTGTGCACTGCACTTCCGGTTATTGAAAGAAGCATGCATACCTTTTGTTTGTTTGTTTGTTTCATTTTACGCCTTTTTCAACAGTATTTCAGTCATATAGGCAGGTAGTTTCCTAACCATCGTTCCTGGAGAGTTACACCAGTACTAGACTACCTTCCTCTGCGCTAAACTACCAAAGCATCTCCGGGGGATCGAACCCACGCCAGAGAGGTAACTAGATTAGATCTAACCCCTCGACCACGGAGGTGCATGCTTAGTTTGAAGTCAATCCGACTTATAGTGATTGAGTTATGCTCCGGACAAGCTTTAGGGGACGCTGACACCTACAACAACGGACGTCAAAAGTAACCCCTTTATGCCGCCTCTTCAAGGCGACACAAAAATATTAGTGTGCCCTTGACATTTGAAGAAAGGATGTGGTTCTTGGATGCGACAGGATGTTGTCATGAGATTAGACATTTGTGCCAAGTTATTTCAAAATCCCTCAATGCATGACAAAGTTACAGTCTGGACATGATTGTTGTGTAAGTAGGGACACATGAACAAACGGACGAACATGAATCTTAGCATTGACACATTGTTTTGATGTGGTAGACATTTGTGCCAAGTAATTTTAATATCCTTACATGCATGACAAAGATACAGTCCAGACATGAATGTGTATCTTCAAACTCTTCTAAAGAGAATGAGTACCTTCAAACTATAAGTGTGACCTTGAAGGTAGGAACATAGGTCTTAGTCGCAACATGTCTGTGGTATGACATTTATGCATAGTTATTTTAACAAACTTACAGTCCGAATACGAATGTGCATACCTATTAACTCTAATTGTGATAAAGTGAACTTCAAAACGGTTGTGAGACCTTGACCTTTGAGGTAGGGACTTGATTTTTGAAGGCTGCAAAATCATCGTCTCTATGTGGTAGACATTTCTGCTAAGTTATTCTAAAATCCTTCAATGCATGAAAAAGTTACAGTCTGGACACGATTGTGTGTACATATTAATTCTAATTGTGATAATGTGAAACTTCAAAATGTTAGTGTGACCTTGACCTTTGAGGTAAGGGAAGCAATTCTTAAAAGTGACACGGTATCGTCTTGATGTGGTAGACATTTATGCCTAGTTATTTTAATTTCATTCGATGCACAACAAAGTTACAGCCCAGACACAAATGTATGTACCAATTTACTCTTATTCTGATAATGTGAAACTTCAAAATGATAAAATGACCTTAACCTTTGAGGTAGGGACGTAATTCTTGGACACAATACATTGTCTTGATGTGGTAGACATTTGTACGAAGTTGTTCCAAAATCCCTTCATATATGACAAAGTTGCAGTCTGGAAACGAATGAAGTCAGACACACAGACGGACAGACGGACGTTGTGATTTTAATATGCCTCCCTTCGGGGCATAAAAAGAATTTACTGTTACCTATAACTGTTCCCATAGTCACATAAAACCCAAATGTTAGCTCAAACATACACACACACACTTGCACATACACTCACACACATATACACTGTTAGAAATTTAACTTCTGTCAAACTGTATTTTTTTTTTCTTTCCTATTTCATCAGTAATAGTTTATGATATAATGGCATTTATAAGGAATATTCAGATCAATTATATGTCAAACATCTCACTGGATCTCACTGAGACAAGATTCAGTAGTATAAATTCAAATCAACATTTCATGTTACATATATCATTATAATACTGCACCTTTGTTACGTTAATTTTCATTGGATAATCGTGACGTTTACATTTTTCCTATACACGGCTTTTTCTTCAAAAATACACGGCTTCCCTTCAAGAACCCCCGACACACCCCCATTTTTGATTGGTTGTCACCACTAGATACTATAAACAATATGGCGGCCATAAAATCGCTTTTTAGCCCCGCTAGAAAAGTTTACAGCGAGAATTTCGACTATGACTGATTAATTGATCAATAATCTCTTTTTCTAAGAAAATAAATTGATGTAAACAACTATTTGCTTTGTGTTTTCATTCATCTTTCAGCTGTTTTATTCATAGAAACGAACAATATTTTATTCTTGTTGACCAAGCGCTTGTTTGATCGAGCTTACACAGTGCAGACGATCTTTGTCAAATTTGACAGGTATCCAGAAAAGGGGTTATTTAAAAACAAGGTAGTTTGCCATCAACTTGTTTTTTTAACACTTTTGTGTGAATGGTTTTCTGTAACCATTCTGTTAGCCCTTTCGTCTTTTATGTACATATTTACATTAAATCTAGTCTATCAAATGACAGTATTGGCCTGATACAATATTGACACTGAAGTCTGTCAACCAATTTTACAAAATAATTAGATTCTAACTACCATCTCCAAGAATGGATATAATTACAAGGTGGAAATGCCTGGGAATGAAGTATATTATGCATTTAATGCTAAATAAATGACAAAACATTCTTTGTTATTAAGAATATTTTTTATTATGAATTGACAAAATGTTTGAACTTCAGAACAATATTGTTATAAACAATCATAGTACATGTAGATATTCTTCAATGGAAAGTGATATAATAACACATACATCTAAATAAAAAATGACAAAGGATATAGTTATGTTTTATAAATGTATGTGTTCTGCATACAAAATTGTAGAAAGCAATGGGAATTACTGTCACAAACTTATTTTAGAATTTAATTTCACTTACTAGATCTATTCAAAATTGAATTAAAAATCATGTACAGTATAGTATACTGTAAACAAAATTTATGTTATTATTACAGAAAGAATATTCAATAAGTAAATGTTCAATATTGAATTTACTTAAGCTGTTGAACACAACAGAAATATTTTATGCAAGCTTCTTGCAAGCATGATCATTATTAAATAGATATACAAATAAAATAAATTTAGTAATGAAGCAAAATATAATATTCTTTTAAAAACATACATGTATATGAAATTAAACTTTCATTGACGGTGATAAAGTAATAAAAACTAAATTTACAATATAATTGTATAAATATAAAGCAAACGGCATTACACCACATAAATATATGTGTACAGACAAAATGGCCATTGCAAAACTAGTTAGTATGGTAAATATGTGAAAAATAGAACAAAAAAGAAAAGTACTGGTTAACATCAATATAACATGAACTTTAAAAATATACTGCTCTATGCTCAAATTTGATATTAGTAAATATTGTTGATTGCTTATATATAACCTGCCAACAATTTTTTTTTACTTCAAACAAAGTAAAAATGTTTAAAATTCAACACACAATAGTTAGTCACAATAAGATTATATAGTGTTGTTAAAAAAACTGGCATTTTTTAAAAGAAAATACGAATATAATTATAGTGTATTGATTCTGCTATTTAAATTATGCAAAGTCAGTAAGAAATTCATAAATTTAAACAAATTTCTCTTATTAAAAAATTTTACTCAAGCATGAGCATGGATATCTTTAAACATAACAAATTTAAAACAAAACAAACTAAACTGGAGAACTGAATAATATATGATAGAAAAGATCAACAAGGAAACGAATGCAACATTCAATGAACACAACAATTAAAGTAATTCTTTACTACTTTAATAAAAACAAATCAAACATAATTTCACAAAACCATACAATATTCTTTCCCCTTATTTAATAAATAACTTGACCAAAACTTGAAAAATTGACCACTTAATTTTTAAGCACAAAATTTACTGATTTTCAAACATTTTGAAATTAACAAATAAATACAATTTTTAACCAAATGTAATGAAATTTTAAAAAAAGGCTGAAAAACATGAAAGGTCATTACAACAAAACAAAAAAAATCTTATGAACAACTGTTTGCTTGATCTTAACTTATAAAATGTAAATCTCTAATCATTTTTATATATAAAGAACATATAACTTTGGTTATATGGCTATCAGTCTCAATTATACATAATACATGAAAAATTATTTATATATAAAGAACATATAATTAAGAAAAAAATATTTATATTTAAAGTAATACTTTATAAAAAGTTTATAAAAAGGCACACAAAACATGACTTGTTACATAATTTTTAAATAAAAATCAACAATTTTAACTAGCAAAATCATATACAAATGTATGAAAAAAGTTACATTTACTTATTTCAAATAAAATTTGTATTTAAAGCAGCATATTTCCTGATAAATCATTTAACTTTAATAAGTACTAAAATTATTAAATTTACTATTTAAAGCAGCATGCATCTAAATTTAATTTAAATAATATTATTTTATCTTGAAGAATTAACTACTTAACTTAAGATTGCCTTCAAATTTATGCAATGTTCCATAATAAAATGAAGTGTTAAAATATGTATTTAGTTAAAATATTCACTGTGAAAACATTTCTTAAAATTAAAAATACTTGTACATTTCTTTGTATTTTCTTTTATTTTTTAATTTTTGAAGAAAAAAAAATATTCATACTGATGTACAGTATGCTGCTCTAAAAGCAAAACAAATTGATTTGACATTTTACATTTATAAACAAGCCTTCTAAACAATATTTAAAAAATGGTCGATAATATGACAGGACTGGAAATAATTTTTTGGGGATTATAATGATTGTTCTTTTTGATTTAGGTATTTCATTTGATTGAAATATGAAGAAAAGATTTGCAAGTCACACTGATCAAGAAATTGAAGAGAAAGAAGAAAAAAAACCTGTGCCATATAACACTCAAAAAATGAATACTCATTGTGCTGAAACCTTTAGGAAATATCTTGAAGAAAAGGGTCTTGAAAGTAATTTTGAAGAGTTTGATGAAACAAAATTAGCTGGAGCATTGGGTCATTTTTATATGGATGCCCGTACTGTGAATGGACAGGCATATAAAACCTCAACACTTGAAAACATTCGGCATATAGTCTGAATAGATACTTGAAATCTCCACCATTCAATAAACATTTTGACATTATCACTGGTCCAGAATTTTTGGATGCAAATGAATGCATGAAAACAGCTTTAAAAGAGCTAAAACAAAATGGGCAAGGATCTATAAAATCACTACCCTAAGATTACAGATGATGACCTAGCAAAGCTGTACATGAGTGTATATCTCACTCCAAATACACCATCTGGCCTACTTAATAGAGTGCAGATGAATATAAGATTATTTTTTTGTAGAAGAGCAAATGAAAATTTCGATCAGATGACAAAAAGCACATTTCAAATTGGAAAATACCCTGATGGAACTAGATATGTCTATAAGTCAGAAGATGAATTAACAAAAAACCATCAAGAAAAACAAAAGGCATTAATAACAGGTCACATGCCAGAAGATAAGATTAATAGTGACCTATGCCCAGTAAGACTGTATGAGCTACAGTACTGGACACGCGAAACCCACAAAAGTCGCGTTATGCCGCGAGTGTAGTCTATGTCGCGACGGGACACTTCGCGGTAAAACATCGCCGCGTGCAAGTTCGCCGAATTTCGTGGCGGGTCACGAAAAATCGCCGCGATGTATCGCCGTAATTTACGGCGAATCTTCAGCAATAATTGTATTAGAAAGTACTACTTGGTCCTTAATTCCCGTGGTCTTTAATTTTTGAAAACTTTAAAAAATCTTGTAAACGTCTTGTATATATTATAAATATTTAGCATTTGAACATGTACAGCGTATACATTTTGTATATTAAAAACAAAAGCAATCAGGTGCTGGTGAAAATTAGTTAACAATAAAACGAGATTGAAATTACAAAAGGTAATTGGTACTACATCAAAGAACGCACGATAACAAATTGTCTTATTGTTATTTTTGATAATAATACAAATGTAATTAAAATCCATTGTTTTACTTTCGCACATATTCTATTTTTAGAACAATGCAAAGCGACATTTAGCACCGATTCACAGGTGTAACTAATTTTTACGTCTAATACGCTAATTATGATTGTTGAAAATTGTAAAAGTTTTATCACTTAAATTGACATTCTTTACCTTCAATTTCCACGAGTAAAAAATGCCAGGGCATGAGTAGGTGATGAGTAGCAAGATGCAAATCAGATATTTTTTATTCCCGCCAAATCAGCCAGGGCATTTGACCCAAAAAAATTCCCTCGAAAACAAAAATAAAATCGGAGTTAAATCACACATTTAATATGTAAAGTAACGAGTGATCATTCATGAGGGCATTCTGTGCATAAAATTTAGGGTGTTACTATTTAAAGTATTTACATAAATAGCGACCAACCAGGGAAGGATATTTCCTTACGTCACGCAGTACTGCATGCGCGCGGCAATTAAGTTGAATTAACTAATAATAGCACGTATCAAATTAAGGGTGGAAACGGGATTAAAAAATTTTTTCAAATTAAATGAATATTTGTAAAGCATTTATATGGTCACTAGTTTACCATTGGTAATTTTAATGTGCTTTGGGGTACATGTTCGTTTGTTTATGACTGACGACACTGATTAAATACTATAAGCCCATGCAATAAAACATTTCTGGTAGAAGCGTGGTCATAAAATTGACCGAAAAAAATATCCTTTCATATGCATTATTGTTTTGATAGCAGACACAAAGTATTGCACAATATCTTCAAGATCATTAAAATGGTAAATAAAATATCACAATCAAAATGCACTTACGATTAATATATATTGTCAATAATTGACACAATCAATATCCAACATTTTTTTTTTACTTGAGCAATAATTAAACATGTGTAATCATTCCTTGACAAAAAAGAAATGACAGTTTTTTCTGATTATATAAAAAAGAGGTGAAAGTCAATCGAGTGTCGGCATTTCTTTGATGATTCGGGCAAACAACTACAGGTGTGTAAACATCAAAAATTCACAGATTCTTCAGAAGAGCCGACCAGTCATTTGTCAGAGGTCATTCGTGTTGTAAATTTTGTATTTATTATTTAAACAATGGAAACATTATATTCCTTTTTATTTATGGATGCTTCTTTTTGCGCCGAGGTTTTTTGTGTCTTTTTAGCGCTATGGAATTTCAACAATCGGCGATAATTTTTCGGTAACTAACAATTAAATATTTTTACATTTTTAAAACAGGGCGTGCAAATATCCGCCATTCCAGAAATTATAGCAGACAGAAATCTTGCGTGTGTTATTTTTTTACAAACGTGTAATAAATTGGAGTAATGATCACCCAAGAGAACGAAATGTCCCGGTCTGATCCACTACATTTAGAAATGAACAAGTTAATGTTTCGTATCAATTATGTATCTTTTTATGTAACTAAATATATTTTTTACACATATATTATATTTATATCTCTACTTTTAAACTCAATATGTACCCCCCCCTAAAAAATAGTTTTACACGTGTACATACACACTATTTACCTGCAGATGGAGCCGCATTACTTTGTACTGCGTCGCATTTATACATTGAAAGGTCATGATTCCGCCATTCACGGAAGTTTTAACGGTGTTATTTGATTTCGCCGTGGTTTATTTATATTTGCTGTTGGCATCAAAGATAAATAGAGAAAGGGCATTTTAGCAAATTACAAGATTTTCTTGATACAACTTCATGTAGATCTACTAATTAATTTTCGTACTTGTACATGTATATCTGGTTTCAAGTTCACAGACTACACTTATAAAATGATCTACATTTATTATACAATGAAACATGTATTATTCCCCGCGAATCGCGGCAAATGTTCACGGCAAAATCGCCGCGAGTTGAATTTGCGGCGATTGTCTCAAGTTGCCGCGAATTCGCTCGCGTTATAAAGCATGAGAGTTCGCCGCGAATACGCGAATTGTGCGGGTTTCGCGTGTCCAGTACTGTATACACATCAAAATTGAATCCATCCAACAATCGCTTATGGCAATACCCAAGAGATGCTTACCAATATGGAGATGAAAGCTGGTATCAAAATAGACCAATGGGAAGAGACAAACTTGCATCATTTCTGAAATGTCTATCACAAAAAGTGCCACTTTCGCAAGTATATACGAACCATTCAATTCGGGTCACTGGTGTATCTACATGTATCCTTGGGCAGGGATTTTCTATGCCGCAAATCATGGCAGTGTCCGGACACAGATCGACATCGTCCCTAGCTTTATACCAAAGGGTATCAGATACAGAGAAACAACAAATGGGAAATGCTATTTCCAACAAAATCATAGGCCAGGAGAATCTACCAATGCTGCCAAGTACCAGCCATACCATTACGCACACTGCCATCTTGTAGTAGTTCATTAAATCCAGACAGAATGTATGTAGCCTGGTGCCATTCAAACGCAAACTTACAATCAAATTTCAGGTCAGTGTCAAAATAATCTAGATAAAATTGTACTTAGATTATGAATACATTTATACTACATCTAAATATGAAAATATCCTTTTATTTAAAGAAATTGAGTTTATCTAATTAGAAACATAATAACAAACCTTTTCCTAAAAAATTTTTTTAAAAAGAAATTAAAATAGATTTGTTTAGAATTTAGAAATCAATTTTGTGAAGAAGAGTAAAAATAGCAAATGATTTTTATAAAAAATTGTATGTATTTAAAGGTTAACTTTTCTATAAATATATTATATTACCAAATTTCAGTGTTTGATCAGATTGAGATGATGGGAGGAATTCATTTTATGCAATGGATGATTTCAATCCTGAAGATTTCTTCTCAGATTTTGATTCACTGCCAGATGTGTTTGCACCAGCCCGAAATTTCAATGATAACAAACCAAAGAGGTCAAGGAATTTTCAACAACTGCCATATGTCCAGGAGTCCACAATAAATTTCAATTTTGTACAAAAATAAACTGACAAAACAAACAGTTACTGATGTTAAAAAAAAATAGTTGACAGACACTTAAAATTTCAATATTATTTTCATGTTAACAGCAGTTTGTTTTAATATTTACAGTTGTCATTTGGTTTGACCTAATTAATGTTTTCAAAAGTTTATGTAAACTTTATATTGTAAGTTGATTACACAAACCATACTGTAGCTACATAATTTGGAGGGCGGGGGTTGGGGCTTTTTTGTTAAATAAGTGTTACCCATTAAAATTTAATATGTTGTTTGCTTTTCACATTTTTGTATTCTTCACCTGTTTATGAGTTTAATTATTTAAATAAAGTTATAGCGCAATTTCACAGGTTTTTGATTTCATCTGAAAGTGGACTCACTAAGATATAAAACTTCTCCATAAATTCAGAAAATTGAGGTCTGTTTTCTTTTTCCAAAGTATCCTGAGCAAAACTGTTTCATTTGTTAAATTGTTCTCTCTTCAAAAAATCTGCCAACAAGAAAAGAAAAACAAGTTAGATCTACTATGTTACAAATTTGTATTTTTGCAATATGATGCAATAAATAAATTAATAATTTTTTTGGAACTTACTGTAACCTTAATAATTTACATAAGTGCATTGCCATCCTTGAAATTTCTATTATTTTGTTTGAATAAAAGAATAAATTATGTAAACCCACTTGGTAGGTTCTTTGAGCTATTAACTATTGAAAGAATTTTGTGAAAAACAAATAATAAGGTTTATTAGATGTAATACGGTAAAAGTATAATTTTTTTGTTGCAACATTCATGTAACATGTATGCAAGAGGTTTTTATCCAAGTTACATTGAACCGCCCATCATTGTCATGATTAACTAACCCTTTCGCCAATTTTCTTGCAAAATGTTGAAAAAATAAAGACGGGTTTTAAAGTTGAAATTGTCATTAGAAAAATTTACTTACTGCCCAAATTAAAAAATGTTGATCAACATTCAAGTTATACGCCAGCAAATCTCCAAATTATAATTAATATTCCAATAATTAACGATTCCCGCTTTCCAATTTTTTCCGAACGCCAATACACACTGAATCCCTTTTTTTACATGTGACCTTTTTGAAAAACTATGCTGGAAATTGATGGCCGTCTTAAAATGGTTCGTCGAGGACTTCGTGATCAAAATATGACAGCGTTAGAGTTCCGAAGGCGATTCGTTGACATTCCGTTCTTATGAGGCTCTCAACGGGGGAAAAATTACGACGCCAAAAAATAATAAATCGTTTTTTTAGAACAGTTTTCCAGCGCAGTTTTAAATAAAATTATTTACATTTAAAAGGCAAATTAACAATATGTGCAGTATTAATTTTTTTAAATTCGTTTATTAAAAGATCGTTGGGACAGGATTATAGTGGCCGTTATATAAACGGCTGTTTGCAATATAACCCTCGCCTAACGGCTCGGGTTATATTTACAAACAGCCGTTTATATAGGGCCATATAACCTGTCAACGATCTTTATAACTAATAATATACTCATTGACAGACATCAAATAATATGATAATTAACAGTTTCCAATATATGTTATATTATTATAATATGACAATTTCACAAAACAAATATTGAAGACTGTATAACTAATTGATCAATGAGTTTTAAGAAGTAAATACAATGCAGTTAAGACTGTACAATTCACAAATCTTGTTGAATGTTTATGAAAAGAAAATATTTAAAAATTGGGTTAATCAAATTTATGAATTTTCAGATAATCAAATATTGAAAAATTGGCATAATAATCTAAGATCTTAAAAGATTCATGAGGTCAATTTTTAAAAATAAACCATTATCACAGTATTTCCTCCATTCAACGGTATCTTGTTGGGACATTAACAGAAAAATTTATTAGTAGTACTAAATGGTTTGGTTGTCTTAAAGTGGAAATTAAAAATCTAAGTCAAAAATGAACACTGAATAAAAAAAATTCATTAAATATACCCTGACTTTTTGGAAAATAAAAAACAATAAAATCTAAATGTTCATGTTAGGAAATTTTTTCTTTAATGGAAACACAATTATTCTCCCCATTTAGACTATTTGTTTCCCACTATTTGGGGAAATTTGAATTAAGGAAAACTCATTAAATGAATTTGTTATAAATTTCAGAAACGGGCAGCCACAAAATTAATATTGCAGACAAAAGATTTTTGATGCGCCCACTGATGATTTTTTTTTCTTAAAATAAACTGGATGAAATTTTCTGAAAGAGTAAATTATAAAAAAGCTTATTTTTAATATACATTTTCCCTTAACAATCTCTCAACTTGATTATATGCAAAAACCTTTTTTACTTACACAGAAAATTCACATTTAAAATCATATGAACAAAAACTACTTCAAATCCCAAGTTCTGCAGAAAAATCTTTAACAATTAAATTCAGGATTAAAACTTTGGAATTCTCTTCCCTTAGATATAAGAAAACTCTACAAATTTTACAGTCATTTCAAAAAATAATTATCTGAAATGATGGTTCTCTGGTGGAATAAAACCCATCAAGTTGTATTATAAAAAAAATAATAAATGATAAATGTATATTTTATTGTCTATATTCTTTTTGAATGTTTTTTTTCTTTTTGTTCTAGATTTTCATTTTATAATTATGTTTCTTGTTACCCTTTCACTGCCATAGGGCAATATGCATGATAAATAAAATGATGCCTTTTATCAGAATTTTAAAAGAGCTGTTTATCAAGTGTAAACATTGTTTATAGTCAATTAACAACCGATAGAGTATTGAGTACAAAAGGTCTGTACATAATAATAATAATTATTATTATAATAATAATAACTAGAACTGCCACTATCTTGGCGTGAATACCCCCGCATACCACTTTGTCAGAATCAACAGTGGCCATTTAGAGCTCAAGGACAACCTCCCTGCCAAATCTGAGGTTACTAAGCCAGTGCATTGCTAAGTTATGTATTCTACAAGCTTAAAATGTGAAAATGTCAAAATCAATACATTGCGGACAGGACATTCTTTAGCAATTGAGAAGAAAAGCTTTTTTTGTCAAGGTCCCTGTGACCTTGACCTTCGACCCAGTGACCTCAAAGTCAATAGGGGTCACCTTATAGTCATGATCAACATCCATGCCAAAATATGTAGACTGTGGGTCAAAGGAATCTTAAGTAAATGGGTGGACAAACTTTTTTTGAAGTCAAAGTCCCTGTGACCTTGACCTTTGACCTGGTGACCTCAAAATTAATAGGGGGTCATCTACTAATCATGACTTACCTCCATGCCAAACATGAAGACTGTTGGTCAAAGGAATCTTAAGTTATAGGGCGGACAAGCTTTTTGAAAGTCAAGGCCCCTGTGACCTTGACCTTTGACCTGGTGACCTCCAAGTCAATAGGGGTCATCTACTAATCATGTCTAACCTCAATGCCAAATATGAAGACTATGGGTCAAAGGAATCTTAAGTTATTGGGCGGACAAGTTTTTTGAAGTCAAGGCCCCTGCGACCTTGACCTTTGACCTGATGACTTCAAAATCAATAGGGGTCATCAACAAATCATGACTAACCTCCATGCCAAATATGAAGACTATGGGTCAAAGGAATCTTAAGTTATTGGGCGGACAAGCTTTTTAAAGTCATGGCCCCTGTGACCTTGACCTTTGACCTAGTGACCTCAAAATCAATAGGGGTTCATCTACTAATCATGACTAACCTCCATGCCAAAAATATGAAGACTTTGGTCATAGGAATCTTAAGTTATTGGGCAGACAAGCTTTTTGAAGTCAAGGCCCCTGTGACCTTGACCTTTGACCTGGTGACCTCAAAATCAATAGGGGTCATCTACTAATCATGACTAACCTTCATGCCAAATATGACGACTGTAGGTCGAAGGAATCTTAAGTTATTGGGCGGACAAGCTTTTTGAAGTCAAGGCCCCTGTGACCTTGACCTTTAACCTGGTGACCTCAAAATCAATAGGGGTCATCTACTAATCATGACTAACCTCCATGCCAAATATGAAGACTGTAGGTCAAAGGAATCTTAAGTTATTGGGCAGACAAGGTTTTTGAAGTCAAGGCCCCTGTGACCTTGACCTTTGACCTAGTGACCTCAAAATCAATAGGGGTCATCTACTAATCATGACTAACCTCCATGCCAAATATGAAGACTAAGGGTCAATGATATCTTAAGTTATTGGGCGGACAAGAAAAAACCGACGGACGGCCGGACAGCCGGACGGACAAGCTGATTCCAGTATACCCCCCTTACAACTTTGTTGTGCGGGGGTATAATAATCATTAGAAACATTAAGAGGATATTTTTTCGTTTGAGTGAAATATGGAATATATTTTCACGAAACATGATAAAATGCCACATATTTTCACGAGCCGGGACGGCGAGTGAAAATATGTGGCATTTTATCATGTTGAGTGAAAATATATACCATATTTCACGAAAAACGAAAAAATAACCTTTTTATTTAATTTCATTATCAAAGAAAAATTGTTACGAACCCCATTGGTTGCTTCTGTACAGCCCACAATAATATATTATTGCGTCTTGTTTTGCACGCGATATTTGGCGCTACATTGTGACGTCACTTAAACAACTGTTTAAACGTCTGTACAGCGTTAATAACTGAATTAAAGATATTGGTGTTCGGATTAATTTTCTTAGTTAGACCATTTTCTATCATTCTAGATAGTTTTCAAAAAAAAATTCAACAAAAAACTGTTTTGTATTTCTCAGATTTTTCAAACAAAATGGCGAAAGAAGTCCCTTAAAATAAATATGAGTTTCGACTCCGCCCTTATATCTATATTTCATATTTATTTTTAAAAAATATGAAATATATTTGACTGATATAGCACCATATTTTATGGGTAAAATTAAATAATATATAGATAATTATACCATGGACAATAATTATTATTATTATATTAGCAGATTTGGAAACATATATAGTTATTATAATACTAATAACAAATAATAATAATAATATTAAATAATAATATAGTAATTTCTTAGAAAACCTTCTGGCAAATAGGTGATCAAAAAATAAATGACCCTCTGGCAGCGAAAGGGTTACCTATTTGTAACAATGTTATTTCTGTTGTTGTTTATCATACCTTTTGTTGTAAATGTTTATACTATGTACATTGTATATTTGATGGGAAGACCATGCCTATAACTATGTTGCCTCTTTTAATAAAGTCTTTATTATTATTATTATTTATTATTATTATACTCTCTTTGATATCTTAATTATTAAAATAACAGGTGGTTATTACTATTCCTGACATTATGGTTCATTTAATTAGCATTGTATTTAAAAAGCTCCAAGTATATGTATATTATAAAGCTTCAATATCCATACCTGATATAAAATCCTTTAAATAAGTTTTGTCTTCTAAGATCCATTTAATATCCTGAACTTGATTAAAGTTGCATGAATCTGAAAAATATGTTATGATATTTAATTCTATAGATATATCCAAGTACATTTATAAAACAAATGAATTATCTTTTGCTGTTTTCTTTAGAGATATTATTTACAAAACAGATTGGTGACCTTTTAAAAAAAAATAGAGACAAATATTTAAAAGTGTTTAAAGTGTTTCATTATTTATCAATTACAGAACAAGTTTCCTTACGCACAAAATACCTCGAGTGTATATTCATTTCACTAAAGAGTACCATAAAAAATTAGTTCTTTTATAAAACAATATGCATGATAAATAAAATGATGATTTATCAGAATTTTAAAAGAGCTGAATCC